TTGTCGTCTGGGACGTGGGGGATCCCGATTATTTTTTTCATATTTCTTCCATATAAAACGTGATATGGACACTAGGAGGTGACACAGATGCGATCTCAAGATATGGTCCCAGAGTGCGAGACGGGCGGCTGCTGGTCACTGCGCTAGGCGTTTGCACGTCCGTACCGACCATTGCGTTGTTGTCCTTCGTTAGGGCTTCCAAATGCCATATGATGCCACATTGTCATTGTGTTAGTTTTCGACACTTCCATAATTTCGGTGAGTCTTGACGAACCTTGCATGCGTTTCTTTGATATTGTCGAGTTCCTGAGATGCCTTGACCACTCTTTATTGGTTGTTTCAGTAAGTGTTCAGGTGACTGTTCACGTTACGGTAGTTGTGACCACCTTTTCGGTGGAAGTAATGCACAGTAAGATTTTTAAAACCATATCGCTGACAGCGCAATCACACTTTTCCTCTGAAAAGAAGCACTGAGTGGTCCGATGGCAAGACTTGAGGGCCCGCTTCGCCACATTGTTTTAGGTAATGCTTATTGTATTTCTCTGTAATGGAAACACCCCCTCTCACGTCCTTTCATCTCTCTATAACTAGCCGCCTCCGTTGTTTAGAATGTTTAATTTGAAGTTCAACGGTATTATTTTGGGACTGTTTTCGATGTTTGTTCTGTTTATTTGGAGGAGTATTCTTTTACAGATTATTCTAAAACAGTCTTTCTAACACTTGATAATAAGCTGCATAAATCACGTCAAGTTGCTCCGCGCATTGTATTTCCATGAAGAGTAGCAGTGGCAACTCAATGTGACCTTTACGTTGACCATCCATTATCCTGTATTTTCCCAAGCAAGTGTGGTACCAACTGACCAATCCCGGCTGGGGGGAAGGCGGGTGGGCATGGGGATTAGGCGTCCTGCTCAGTACGGTGCACAATCCAGGACCTTTCGAACCAGCACACTTATGATCGCTACGAAACAAATAGAAACAAATGGAAGTTACTTTCCACACGTGCCTCATCAACATCATTAGGACTTTACGTGTTTTCTGGCCACCCACGCCATGGCACCACCCTTGCTTCGGTCTACGACTCGCTCGATTAGCCTGTGGGTCTGAGATAGACACTCGATTGGCCAGCAGATAAGCTGTATTCATTCCTACTTTAACACGTTGACGACATCGCGCGTTTTGTGTTTTTGTTTTGTGTTTTTGCACCGCGTGGGACCAGAGCGATTTTGCGAGCGCCGCCGCCGCACACCAAATCCATGGATTTTGAGCTGTAAATACGCAATACTTAGATGCGATGAAATGTTTTCAATAATGATCTGTCTAGCTTATCAGGAGTTACAGTAATGGAAGTTTGACCGAAATGACGTGTTAAGGCCATGAAAAAGGCAAATTTTACTTACTTTCCCTTTAGTGGTTCCAAAATTAATTTGGACGTGGTTGTTTCAAAACACATATCTTCCCATACGAATAGGTTTGTATTCGCTTCTATTATTCCTTTTTATCAACATGTTTACGTTAATGAAAAGAAAACGAGGAATGAACTGAACAGACATCCGACTGGATGTAGCGGTTTGTGCCAGAGAAAGGGCGTTAGCGTCGAAGAGGGCACTACCGATGAGAGTCGCATAAATGCGGAAATCAACGCAAATGAGGGGTTTCATTTCTGGAGTTCTGAGCCGTTTCTTGTGGTTCTTCCTTCATCCCTGCACCAGTGACCACCTCCACTT